CAAATTTTTACTCTATATTTCAGTGGGATTCAAACCTCTTTGCTGAATTTCAAAAATATATCTTTAACTATATGTTGTGACCTCAAGGGCAACTAAAACTTAACATGTTCCAAACTAAATCTTTGTCTTTTCCTGAAAACCACTTCTCCTCCTGAAGTGCCCAGTTTGACAAAGCTTGTCTTCCTGCAGCTGCCTAACCAGAAATCTGAAATATATCCTAAACTTCTTTTTCTCCTTTCTCTTTCCCTTCAGACACCAGGATCCATCAATTCTTCTTAACATTTTTGATATTCTTCTCATCTCTATTCCTATATTATTTGTTTTTTTTTTAATGGAAAATCTGTTTTCAAACTTTTAACCTTTCTTGCCTGAACTTCTTCACTTCTCTCTGAGTTGTTTTTTCTACCTCCAATTTTGAGTTACCCCATCCTGTTGTCCTTACTGCTGCCAGTGGTCGTTCTAAAACAGCAGGTGTTACTCTCGTAATTAAAATCCTTCAATGATTTCATGTTAGGTTCAGGATAAGACTTACAAAAATCTTAATATGATATAGAAATTCTATAGGCTCTAACTCCTGCCTGTGTGTTGTTCTAGCCTCTGTCTCAACCTTAAAACTTAAAGATAAAAATGTGTTTAATTCTTATAACTGAGTATAATAGGATAGAGGTCGTAGGGAATCACAATAATTGTTGAATCAAAAGGGGGATGGGGAATAGACAGGGAAGAAATGAAAGAAAAACTGAGTCTCACATTTCCCTCTCCACTGCCAACTTTTCATCAGGCCATATTAGCTGTAATTTGGTTGTATTTCTACATTTTGCCAGTAGGTGCCACCATAAAATGCATACTATACTTTCCTTAAAAATCTTAAATTAAGGGTTTCTTGTTACATAAAATAGTTCTCTGTTGTTCAAATATTTAAAATTATGTATTTCAAGTTTATAATAGCAACTTGAATTATATTTATTGGACTAAATATAATACATTTATAGAATGTTAAATCTAGTTGAAATTATCCAGTCCAAAATATTGTTACATTTTTTTTCTCATTTAAAAATATTCTAGAAGCATTTTTGATATATCTTATGGAGCACTTTTAATCATACTTAATTTTAATTTTTAAAAATTTATTTAAAGGTTTTATTTATTTACTTGAGAGAGATAGAGAACAAGTGGTGGGGAAGGGCAGGGAGAGAGAGAAGCAGATTCCCTGCTGAGCAGGGCTCCATCCTATGACCTAGAGATCATGACCTGAGCCAAAGGAAGATGTTTAACCCATTGAGCCATCCAGGCACCCACATACTTAATTTTTACAGATATGTTTTAGCAAGTAGTTATCTAATTCTTGAATATGGTAGGGGAAAGCCAACCCATATAGTAAAGATATTCAGTAATTACTGTGAAGTATTACCAATCTGTTTGTATTATTGCTTATTGTTCTGTCTCAGTCACTAGATATTAATACAGGCCTGTGGATTTAATTGTGTTTTCCTTTACTAGTTTTTTTTTTTTTCCCTTTTTCTGCCCTAGGGCCCTTTTTTTTTGTTTGTAAAGATCTGCAATTTACCTCTTTTTCACTTAAATTCTTCTATTAATATTTGTCCAGAGTACTCATAATATATCTTCTGGGATGCCTTCCTGAATAACTCCTTTTTCCCTTACCCACCCACTCACACTCCCTCAGTATCTCACTTTCTCACATGATCAGTTGTGACCTCTTAAAGAGAAAATATGTTGTTCATTGTATCCCAGTGCCTAACACAAATGTCCTGGTGTCATTTGAGTTAAAACTTCAGAGATGCCAGTCTCTAGAAGCAAGAGTCTGGATTATGCCACCGTGTTGCTGTGCAGATATTTGGCTCTTAGGAGACAATGTATAACAATGGACTGGGCGTAGCACTGGTGTTTGAGGTATTTTGCCGAGGTCAAAATGTTGAGCTTCATAATATCTGAAATACAAATCTTATAAATTTTTTCCTAATATAACTCAGGGTATTATATCATCTTTAATATTTTAGTGTATTTGTTCTTATAGAAAGAGTGAGAAAAGGAGGGAAAGGTGACTTTAACCTAATACCGTTGAAAGCATTTTTTTTTGTTCTTGTAATTGACATTAAAACACTCTTTCATATTTTATTATCCTTTTGAATCTTTTCCAAAACTCTTCCATTAGATTACTTCCCAGAGAAAGCACATAGTGTTGTGTTTTCATTTTGGCTTCATTTCATCCAATTACTTTCTGTGCTTTTGATTGAAAATCAAGGGAAAGCATTGAAAAAGAAAGTGCCTATATATATATATATAACAGTTCTTAGAGTTTACTCAGACTTCTGATTGCACATTTATGGCAGACTAGGTCCCCTGGTTGACCCTTCCACTGAAAATTGCTAGTAATGCTGGATAGCATATTTTTAAAATACTTCTTGAATGCATTGATGATTAGGCATACGTAATGAAAATATAAGCCGAAAACTAGGGGAGGGAAGAAAGCCAGAGAGGGGAGTCTAGAAGGGAAGTGAGCTTTTATTTTGAGAGTATTTAGCAATTGGGAAGATCTATTCTTACAGCCACTAGAGTCTGAGAGTGCAAAGACAAAGCCCAGGGACTGCCTAAGGTGAGGAGTCTATTGGAACATACCCACTCTACAGGGCTACCCACTCTGTGAAATGAACTGAGAGTAAGGGCTTTAGCCTGATAAAGGGTTTCTATAAAACCCTACTTAATGGTAAAATGTTTTAGCATCCTCTTTAGGATTTAGCACAAGATAAGAGTTCTTGCTCTTATCATTTCTTTTTTTAGTGTACTATCAGATATTCAATTCAGTATAGTAAGGCAAGGAAAAGAAAAAGGAGATTTAACAGTTAAAAGGAAGAAATTAAAAAAAAGGAAGAAATAAAGTTCTTTTTGATGATAATAGGATAGTAGATGTAGAAAACTCCAGGAATCTAGAGACAAATTATTAATATTAATAATAGTGTTTAACAGTGTTGCTGGACACAAGGTCAATAAACAAGCCATTGTATTCCTATGCTGTCACCAAATAGAAAACTTTAAAAAAGAAATAAGAGCTTCAAGAATATAAAATACATTTAAAAAATCTAATAAAGTCATACTAATCCTTCCCCTTCAACTAGTTCAGGTTGAAATTCTCTGATTGCCTTCTTCTACCCAGGGCTTTGTGTCCTGATCAAAGTGCTACCAGAGATTTTTGTCTTCAGGAAAACCCATTTATTCTGCTTGCCTCCCATTTAACAGCTCCCAATTTTCCACTCTAGCTCTTGTTTTTCCCTTTTTTGGGGAGAGATTAAGTGGTACTTAGAGATTTCCCCCGTTCCTGCCAAATTCAGTAAGATATTCCCCCAGAGTATTTATTTAGTCTGCCATAGTGTAAGTGGAAAGTCCATAAGTACTTTTGTATCAAAAATAACAATAATAGCAAAAAATATATATCTTATGTCTTACTATTAAACATTTTTGATTGTTGTGTGTGATAATGGTCATTTACTCAACAAACGTATCATTTCTTCTGTGTGCCAAATATAAACTGGTAGTATAAAGATTAGTAAATATTGTTCCTTCTCAGGGAGCTCTTTTCTTTTTTCTTTTCTTCCTTTATTTTTAAATGAAATGTTTCCCAAGCTTATGTAGTTGTCAGAATCACCTGTAGTACTTTTAAAACAATGCAGCTGTTTTGTATCCTTCTCAGCAGTTTGTGATTCAACAGGGTGTGAGCTGGAGTTGATATTTTAAACAAATGCTGAATATGATTCTGATAATCAGGCAAATGTGGGAGACACTAGTCTAATCGAACATTAAGTGTCTCTGCAGTTTTCTTCTCTATCTTGCCTTCTCTATTTGGAACAGCTATTTGAATGTAAACATATTTCCAGTGTTTGTTATGAAACCTGGCTTCTTCCCCAAAACATAAAACCTGGTAATTAGGCAGTCTGGATAAAAACTTTAATTCATAATTTCCTTTATGCTGCCATAAAAGTCACAGAAAAGTTAAATAACATACCCAAGGTAAAAGGCAGAGGTGGGAAGCAGGAGGTGGGAGATGGGATCTGTTATTCTGTGCTCAGGCAGCTGCCTTTATAGCCAGGACATACCACCTTCTTCTTCAGCACCATGCCGCCTTTCCAGGGATACCTTTAGGGAGAGATCTCCTGACTTAAAAAAAAAAAAAAAAAAAGGTCTCTCCTAGTGTCGGGCACCTCTAATTTCTTCCTTGCAATAGATCAAACTCCTTCTTCCTATATATTTCTTATATTTTTTTTAGGTCAGCCTTCTAGAGCAGGAACTGCAACCTAAATTCATTTCAGGTTCAGGCTTAGTATAAAGAAATAATTGATTTCAGGTTTTTAAAAACACTTGTCTATTGAACATAGTTGGTCCAGTCATTGGTTTGCTTTAGATCAATATTAACTAGCCTTAATTTCCCCCTTGCATACAATAACAATTCTCTTATCAGAATGCAATGTCCTGTTTCGGGTCAGTCCTCACCACCTCCTTCCTAGCCCAGAACACTCTTGTGTTCTTGGACAAGCTGTTTAACCTTTTTGAGACTCAATTTTCTCATCTGTGATTTGAGAATAATAATACTTACTGAATTGATTTTAAGATTAAAGTAATGTAGGATTCTAGGTATTCACTGAGAGATAGTGTTTCTGTTACCTTGTATCAAAACATACATATTTTAATTATATTATGTGTGTATGGCTGCACTGCACCTGAAACTGTTATTATATATAACTAAAATATTTCCCTTCAGCTTTCAAATCAGGGAAGAAGTAACTTTGTTGAAATGACTTGCTTTAAGAAAACCTTAATTTTCTCGCTCATGGTTCTCATTCTTTTCTTAAATGTGTTAGTTTGGTTTATAAGATCAAAGTCATATTTTTTGAAAAGTGTTGGTTAACTTTGAGAAGTTTATTTTCAAGCTCATATGCATAGTGTCATTTCTAATACTATTATAAAGGTGATCTTATTTCTATCTTCAGCATTGCAGGGGGTCGGATACTCTCAGTGATAAAGATGCAGCTGATTAAAGGCCAGAACAGCAGGGATCCTTTTTGTAAAGCAGTAGAGAAAGTTGCTCAGGATTTGGATTTGAGGATTAAAAATATTATCAATTCTCAACAAGGAGATGTAGCTGTTAGTACTACTGACATCAGTCCTGCCCGGGTAATGAACTTTTTATTTTTCATTATCCTTCTATACAAAACATTGTCACTTCTACTTATTATGGAAATGGTTTACTATTGCTACTTAAGCCAGAAGAATGTTTTTCCTGTGTTATGAGATATTGGAAATTTATGTTTCTCAATAGGGATTATCAACTTGAGTAAATCATAACATCTTTGGGCCAAAGTCTATTTGTTAAAGTGGGGTATTGGATAATCTTCAGTATCCCTTGTAGCACTAGAAGTTTATAATTCTTAGTGGATGTTAAAGTGTTTTACAGTAATTATTCTTATGGAACCATTATTTTGCCATCTATTCAAATATAAAATAAGAGCTGGGTTTCTCTGGGTCTGATCCCTGTATTAGGTACTGTGTAGAACAGTAATAGAAATGGTTTCTATTCAGTTTATTTTTCTTAAGTATAATTATTTCATCCTTATGATCTGTTGGTTTCTATCTCTATTACCAGCCTCCTGCAAACATGAGGAATTTTTCCTATGCTTAGTAATCTTTTAACTATATAGTCCCAGAATGTTTACCTCTTTCTTGTTTTTTTCGTTTTTTTAACATAGGTACTCCATCATTGTACAGTGTTAGTATTATAGGAGAAATTGGCTACCATCTTTCAGCTGTAGAAAAGAATTTGGGAGTATGTGTGATAATCCATTTGTTGCAGTTTAATTACTCAAGCAACAAAAGCCCCCTTCCATAGGTGTGATTGTGATAATCTGTGTATGAAGAAAGACTTTTGCTTATGTTTTATTATTCATCTATTTATTCACAGTCTTTGGGAACCATTTTTAATTGTTTTTCTGTAACAATGTATGTTTTCGGATGTATTTGAAGATGGGACATGGGGGAGATTCTGTGTTGTTGCCCCATGTGTTTTACGTTTGTTAACACTTACTGTGACTAGCACTTTGTAATGCAGTTGTTGGTTACTTACTTATTTTATCAAGGAGACTATGGGTTCCTTGAAGTGGTGGTGTTTACCTCTGTAGCCTAAACTTCAAACACTGTGTTTAGGATTTGGTATGTGTTTATCAGTGGATTACTGAATGAATGAATGAATGTCAACTCATTTTTTTTTTAATTTTTGCATTTGAATAGATCTTCACAGCCATCTATTTGGTTTGGTATTCAGATCAACAGAACCCCATCTCTCTTTGGCATAAGAAAGAGAAAATACACAGGGAGGCTAAATCCTGAGGCTAAGGTCACCAAGCTAGCTAGTTACTAAATTTTCTGACTTAAAGCCAGATGTTATTTTGACCAGAACCAATATCTTTCTGTGATGCTATTATGCTATTATTTTCTATATTTTCTATATTCTTTTATGCTTTGGGAAGGTGATAAGATTGATTTTAGTATGACTTGAGGGGGAAATATCACGTGCCTTAAAGCCATTTCCCATGGTTGATTTTTTTTTTTTATAACATAAACAATAGGAGATCAGTGGCACAAGAAATGAAAAAGAATGGCTGATCACCCAACTCTGGTGATTGTTAACTTTTTTTTTTTTGATTGTTAACTTCTACTTAATAGTATTTATTGTTCTAGCCAAAGTCTTATGCCATAAACCATGGGACTGCATACTGTGGCAGAGATACTGTGAAAACTTTACTAGTTCTTTTGGATGAAGAAGCAGCCAGTATGCCTACCAAAAACAAAGCAGAGCTTTTATATGATGATGAAAACACAGTTCATAATAATGGAATTTCTATTCTTACACTTTTTAGGTAAGTAATGTAGAAGTTATATGTATGTGAGTATTTAGTCTATAAAGGGAATTTTTGAAAAAACACCTCTTGGATTAAAAAGAAATATATTATGGTAAGAAACTTAGAAACTAGAGAAAAGTATGACGAGAGAAAACAAGTTAAAAGGAGATTGAACATTTAGATATGAGAAAGTTTTTATAAAAATATAGTATTTTATGAGAGTATGGCAAGTATTTTTGTTTTTATTTTTTGGCGCTTGTATTTTGCTTTGGAAATATTTATTTCCTTTGCTGTGTATGTCAAGAACTTTGGTAACTGCTTTCACTCATATTATCTCAGCCCTTGTACAACATCTTTCAGTGATATCCCCACTTCATAAGAAAAAAAAATTAGATACTTGAGAGACAGAGATTAAGTAATTTGCCTAAGACAGTACAGTTAGCAAGTAGCAAAAGTGTCTTACCCCAAAACCTAAGGTCTGTCCTCCAAAGATTGTACTGCTGTGCATGAGAACAGGAGATGGGGAATATAAAAAATAATGAAAGGGATTAAAGGGGAAAGGAGAGAAAATCAGTGGGAAATATCAGTGAGGGTCACAGAGCATGAGAGACTCCTAACTCTGGGAAATGAACAAGGGGTGGTGGAAGGGGAGGTGGGCGGGGGGTTGGGGTGACTGGGTGATGGGCACTGAGGGGGGGGCACTTGACAGGATAAGCACTGGGTGTTATACTATATGTTGGCAAATTGAACTCCAATTAAAAAAAAAGAGAGAGCATGTATACCAGACTACATGCGAGTTGACATCTGTCGGTTCGTCATCGTATGAAGAAAAATACTTAACTAAATTAATGTGTTGATATTCTGGACAAGACATTGATATGCTCCAGTTTTAACAACAACTAGGTCAAACACTGAGTAGGTTGGTAGTGTTTTCCATTAATGAACGTTCATTTGTAGAAAAATGTAAAGTTTTAGAATGATTTTAAATTGTATTTAGTACCTTGTGGAGAAACTTTACAAAATCATCCTACTTGTTTGCTCTCTTCTATTTTTCTTTTCTCTTTGAAGAGAAACTTTGCAATGACCTGTCATTGAGTGTTGTCCTCCAATTTGTTTAAAATCTTCTTCACCAGCTTTCAGTGATTATTATTTTATAATTCAGTGTGATATAATTTTCCCATGTTCTATCTTAAAAGTGTTCAAATATTTTCGTAACAATGAAAATTTATTCTTTCAATAATTTATGAAAAAAGTGGAAAGAAAATGAACCTTGTTTTTTTTTTCTTTTACTTTACTTCTGTTTAACAAAGTTTGCTTTTTAGATAAAAACATAAATGATTAAATTTTCTCTCAGATTCAATTCTACCCTTTTCTTAGAGAAAGTTATTTTGTGTTTATAGAATTTTATTAAACAAAATCAATCCCTACATCCACTTTATTTATTTATTTATTTATTTATTTATTTATTTATTTATTTATTTATTTATTTATTTATTTATTTATGATAGTCAGAGAGAGAGAGAGAGAGAGAGAGAGAGAGAGAGGCAGAGACATAGGCAGAGGGAGAAGGAGGCTCCATGCACCGGGAGCCCGATGTGGGACTCGATCCCGGGTCTCCAGGATCGCGCCCTGAGCCAAAGGCAGGCGCCAAACCGCTGCGCCACCCAGGGATCCCCCTCCTACATCCACTTTAAAGAAGTATTTTTCTCAACCATGTGGTCACACATATTTCAATTGCTTACAGTTACCTTAACATTTGCAATTGTCATTGTGCAGACAAGTGCCAATTCATGGTAAGGTGAATTTTTAGTGGTCTGCATTGGAATGATAAAATTAAGAACAATGTGGTGTATGAATATAAGTCAATGTAAGGTTATAAACTAGTGTTTCTTAGAATAGACTATTCTTTATCCTTATATAACAGTCTTTTGAGTTAAAGAGGTTATGACTCTGGCTCTATTAAGCCAGAAAGGAATTTATTGAGGAATCCAGGTTTGTCTGGCTCCAAAGCTCCAGTGTTTCTTTCTCCATTGTGCCTTCTTTGACTGTCCTATTTCTAAACTGTATTTTTCTCTTGAATTCCTCTGCTACAGCACTTGTCCTTTTTTATTTTAAATTTTAGTTGTGTGGATATCTTATTTCCTTAGGCTTCAGGAGTCTGAATTCAGGGCAATGAATGAATCTACTTTCTATCCTTTATAATATCTTGCACAGTACCATATGTATATTAGGAACCCAAATATGTAGTGACTGAATCAATTAATTGAGCAAATTATCAATACTTAGAATTCTCATTAGTAGTACTAACACTTTTATACAGTGCTATAAACAATTAGATTCAGTTGTCTTTTTATTTTATAACTGCTTTTGGGTAAGAGGGGGCAAAAACAAGTTAAAAAGCTACTTTTGTTTATATGTTTTTTGCTTTTTTTGGACATAGATCTCCCACACAAGTGAATAATTCATCAATGAAATCCCTAAGAGAACGTATCTGTAAGTCAACGCAAGAGAAAAAAATTAAGGTACGGTTTAATATACTGTCATAAAAATGATAAAAATGGTTTTATTTGTAGAAGAAAAATAGAAAGCTGAGCTGGATATTATAAATATACATTGTACTTGGAGCCATAAGACTTAAATGGAAAATGAATTATGGCATTGACATATAGAAACTTTACTCTTATACAATCATGGCTGATTAGTCTTTGGCTTATTCAATCTGCTGGACCTAAATGAAGGAAAGAATTAAGTACTTGCTATTTTAAGTGTTCAATACATATTGTTCAGTGAATGAAGGCAAAAGTAAAGAAGATATGATGTTCTCACTTACATTTCTCACATTTTAAACTGATTCTTGAAAGACTAAATAATTTCCATTTTGTTCCTGTCTGAGACATACAGCAGAATATCATTCATTGTAGATTAAGACAAGAACATTTCACATTGTTTATTGATTAGAGCTATTCTTTATAACTTTATATTATTTGAGCTAAGTTTTTCTGCCCTCATTCAAACATTTGTTCCTGTAAGTAGCCAATAATGTGTTTTTTTTTTTAAGTATTTAAAATTTTCTTGGTCTTATTTTCTTTTTTTCTTTTTCTTTTTTATTTTTGGTCTTATTTTCAAAAAGAAATTTGGTCTTAACTCATTCGGCATACATTTATTGAGCATCTGCTATGTGCTAGATATTCTTCTATGGTTAATAATTCATTCATTTGTTCAAAATTTTCATGTAAAATTTACAATTACCTTAAATTATCAAAGTTATTCATCTTCATACAGCTTTAAGAACTCTAATTTGTATGCTTTTTATATCGCATTTGGTAAGTTAGTCCCAATTCGCAGAACTTTTAGTTATCTGTTTCATACCCAAAACCCATTCAATTTATATTAATAAGTCTTATCTTTCTTTTGGCTATTATTTGTTGTCAGTACTTAATACCTGTGGAATATGTCAAGGAGTTTTATACAATTTTTCTATGAGTAAAATTTGTCAATCCTTTGTTATATTACATAAGCACTTACAGTCAAGGCATAAGATCTTTTTGAAAAAAATCCATTCTTTCAACTTTATTAGAACCAGAAATGTAATCTACAAATTCTTTAATTTTTTTTCCCTGCTATGGATACTGACAAACTTTAATATTTTCATTTAAAGATCATTGGTATAATACCCCTTAGTTCTACCCATGTCAACGCAAATGACAAGATTTCATTTTTTTGATGGCTGAGTAATACTCCATTGTATTTATACCACCTCTTCTTTATCCATTCATCGGTCAGTGGACATCTGGGCTCTTCCCATAGTTTGAACTAGAGAGTTTTATGCTAAGGGAAATAAGTCATTCAGAGAAAGACAATTATCAAATGATTTCACTCATCTGTAGAATTTAAGAAACAAAACAGGGTTGTAGAAGAAGGGAGGGAAAAATAAAGTGATGAAATCAGGGGAGACAAACCATAAGAGACTTAACCATAGGAAACAAACTGAGGGTTGTTGGAGGGAAGAGAGAGTTGGAAGGATGGGGTAACTGGGTGATGGGCATTCAGGAGGGCATGTGATATAATGAGCACGAACTGGATATGATAGATCACTGAACTCTACCTCTGAAACTTAACACTATATGTTAATTAATTGAAGTTAAATAAAGAATAAAGATCAATGGATATTTTGTTAGAATTAACTAAATCAAAATGAAAAAAATCTGTTTTAAGAATAAGAATAAGGTGGGGTTTTTTAATTTTTTTTTTTTTTTTAGAAACTGGTAAGAGTCAGCTAATTACTATAAAATGTATAGTCAAATTTAGAAAGTTTTGGGAAGTAGAGGAGAAATTTTTTAATGCTGTCTCATTTATGGATGTGGAGACCAAAATCTTGAGAAAACACCTTGTCCAAGATCTCATAACTACTATGAAATGTGGGCAAAGCCATGGTTAAATACTAATGAAATTATAATTACATTGCTACCTTTACTTAATAGTGGAGCTGGCTTAGTCTACATAGCTCTGACACAAAATGGCAATAGAGAGAGGAAGGAATTGGTGTTTATGATTATATCTTACTGTACAATGGTCTTTATAAAAGCAAAGTGTGAAAATAATTGGTTTAGCCAGGTATACAGCAGAACCATAGCCAGCTAAAGTATTTTGTTGGAATAACAAAAAAAATGTATTAATATTTACTACTAAGTTACTATGGAAAAGTAGTTTAACAGCTTCTTGTCTTATTGTCTGGTTAATTTTGCTCTTTTGGCATATAGTTCTTTTTTAATCATGGAAAGAATACATGATTTACATTTAAAATGGTGTCTTGCAAAGAGCACTTCAAAAAATAGAAAATATTAGGGTATTTAGAATTTTGATGTCATAGATGATAATTGATTGGAAGTATCCATGTCATTATATGGGGCAAATGAACTTTTCTTAGATTTTAGTTTATCATTTATAAATAAAAATAAACACCCCTCTGATCGTAAAATCTTATGAAACCATATTCATTTTATGGTTCCTCAAGTTTTATTTCCTACTATTGCTTATTAGGAAACTTGTCCATGGTGGTCAAATAAATTCTACTGTGATAGATAGGAACCTTTAGGGAATGGTTACATCCCAACACCCCCTCATCCCCCATTTCAAGCAGTTTATACAAGTATCTTCATATCTCTTTCTTAAAAGATTTTCCAGAAGATACTTATCTCCTTATATCTCTGTAAATTAATTGTATTCCTTTCATGGTTTAGCAGTATTTTGTGCATCAGGCACAACTGAAAAGTCCCATGTACAGGTGTTTTCCTTATTCTGAGTTTAATGTTTTTGCCCATATACATACAATAATACATAGGATAATCAGCAGTAACTGATTTAGTAATTTAAGTGAGCTGATCAGGAAAATGCTGGATCTTTAAAACATAGAGTAGCTAGGACAGTGAAAATTAGGGTTTAGGTGGTTTGAAAATAGACTGGCTATAATTCTGGTACCTATGTAAGTAGTCAGGCAGCCCAATGCTCATGGTGTTGGAAAATTCTTAAATAGATATCCAAGTTGAACTTTTAGAGTCTTAGAAAACTCTGGGTACATCCAAATTAAAATGTTAGATTGAGCTTAACTCATAGAATTTCTCTCTCCTTACAATGTCTATAAAATAGTAACTAGCAAAAGCATTCATCGAGAGCAAACAATAAAGAATAATACAACTAGATACAATAACTTCAAAAATGAGGCCAAGGAAAGAATCTGAAGATTTTGGGGGGAAGAGTCACAATATGACTTAATACAGCCTCAGTCCCCAGATACTATACTAGTGAGAATTATCACTAATATATCCCAAACTGAAGGGCCAACTAAGTGCGTGTGTTCCTTTTTTTTTTTCTTCCCCCCTTATTAGAGAAATAGTAGAAGTGGCAATGAGGGGATGCCTGGGTGGCTGGCTCAGCAGTTGAGCATCTGCCTTCGGCTCAGATCGTGATCCTGGGGTCCTGAGATCCAGTCCTGCATTGGGCTCCTCACAGGGAGCCTGCTTCTCCCTCTGCTTGTGTCTCTGCCTCTCTCTGTGTGTATCTCATTAATAATAATAGTAATAATAATAATAATAATAAGTGGCAACTAGATAGTAATGAGTAATGTGGTTAAAATGTGAAAAATGAACGCTGGAACTTATATACTTACACAGATGAAGCCTCCAATGCCACATGATGAACTGGGGAAATTATCCAAATGACCCCCTTCCATTTGAATGAGATATAGTGGCTAAGTAGACAGAGTAAACCTTCTTACAGTACATATAATGAATAATAAACTCCTACGAGTAAGTGTAGCACCCAGAACATTTTCAAACTGTCTCCTCTGCTGTGTCCACCATTCCTCAGGCTACTGAAAAATGAGGAATAACAAAGTATGCGGCCTTCAAAATGTAACTGAGGAGAAAATAAAATGCTCTCAAATAAGGAGGGAACAGAATCAAGAAATCACTCACGGACTTAGAGGCTTCTGTTTAGAGCTAAGATATGGTGGCAGAAAACCATTTCTGCTACAATAACAAAATGAAAAGCATATAAATGGGAGAGAATATATTTTAAAGACATAGGAAAGCTATGTAAGCAAAGTGATTTAAGTAAACTAAAAATCTGAGGAGGGTAAAGTCCTTCTGAGGTGAGCACCTTATTATCAGTTTCTTTCTTCCCCAGGATTATTTGCCAGTTTTAGATACATGCCAAGGATTTATATTTGGCCACATAAAGGAACTACTGATGGAAAGAGGGACCAACAAAGACTGTGGATATCTTGAGGGCTGGCAACAGTTTGGAACCTTTAGGAGCCCTGAATGCATGGTTATTTTTACCTAGCGCACATATTTTGGATTTTGAAGTGGAGTGGGAGGCCGAAGAGCTTGTTTGGTAAACTAATATCATCTGTGCTGTTGAGCGAGCTAGAAGACAAGGCTCTGCTTGAGGAGTGGGACCCACATTCAACATGTGGCTGTCCCCTTTCACATATTTGTCATATTTGGAAATGAAGTAAGATGAGAGGCCAAAGAGTACAATGTATAAACCTCTGAAAGGCAAACTGAACCCTCCCCCCACCCAGACTTTTAGGTCAGAGATGATAGAGATTCGCAACGTTCTTGACTTAAAGCCTGGGAAGGACATTCCTGAGGAAGAGATTAGAACCAGAAGTCAGATGTACGTTATGACACATGTAACTGAGCTCTTGGTCAGCCCAGTTCCTGACTGCATTGAGGTTATCAGCCCTTTGCTATGTCTACCTACTAGAGACAAGGGAAACCTTTCTAGTGGAAGAAGGTTCTCCATCGGGAGCCTCTACACTTTCTTTACACACAATATCCAGCATGAAATAAAATATACTGGACATGAAAAGAAATAGGAAGTCTTATCTTTTAATTAAGAGGGAAAACTAACAATAGTGGCAGATGCACAAATAATCCAGATATTTGAATCAGCTGACAAGGAATTGAACATTTTTTGATATGTAAAAGTTCGGAAAAGATGGGCAAAATGAATGAAA